CATTTGGGCTCTCTTCGCAGTGCCCCGAGAACGACCGTTCAGGTAAGCCAACGGTCTTTTTATTGCAGTCACATGTTTACAACATTGTTATCTTGCTTCATCTATTTTTTAAGCTGCCCTTAGTACTCTGTCAGAAAATTGTACCTAAACCATGAAGCATAAACATGAATTTAAATGAAATTAAAAAGCAGCCAGATTAAAAGTTGTAATTACAGCAGTTTTGAATTTGCTTGGGGCTCCCCTTCCCACATATGTTCATGTGTTTTTCTGGCCAGGCATCTAATGCCAAAGACGCCACTTTGCAGAAACTGCTGTACATATTAGGAACAAACCTGCTGGAAGTTGTTCAGATTAGGCATTTCCAAGTCTTTGTTTACGGTGAGGAGCTTGCAACATCTTGAATCCCAAGGGACAACGCTTGGATCTTTTCGTAGACTTTTAGGCATTCAATACCATCATTCCAGAAATTATTCACGCTAAACTGATTCGGGTTACTGAGCCTGTTCATATTTGTAGTTGGACTATCAGCTTTTTGAGAGCTAGGAAGCAGCAGGTGAAGCTACGGAAAGTCACATCAATCACCAGGACAATTAGCACAGGTGCCCCTGAGGGCAGTGGGCTCTCTCTCCATTACTCTATTCTCTCTCTATATCAGTGACTGCATCTCGAAGGATCTCTCGGTTAAAGTAGGGAAGTTGGCAGATGATACAACAGTCATTGGCCTCATTGGGGACGGTGCTGAGTCTGCATATAGATGGGAGGTTGAAAATCTGGAACTGAACATGCTTAAAAGTTAAAAAGAGTGGGCTGCTGCGGGTTCGCACGGGTTCGGGTGATCCTCTAGCTGAGAACCTGCCCAGTTCAGCAAACTCTTAAATCCCACCAATGGCTGGCCCTCCCCACCCTCCCAGGAGTCTCCACGTGTCTCCTTTGGGATGCTAGGTAAGTACTGGAAGTTCTGGAAGGCCGGAAAGGGGCCTGTTTTTGGCCCCTGGAGGGCATCCGGAGCTCAGGGAGGCCATTTTCACCCTCCCAAAGGGTCGAGGAAAGCCTCCGGAGCCTGGGGAGGGCAAAAATGACACATACACACCCAGCCGTGGTGCAGAAGGCCCACTAGGCCATGCCCACCATGGTCATGCCCACCCAGCAACCGGGCAGAGAACGCCTTGCTAAAAGCCCTGAAGCGCCCCCCCTACCCCCTCCCCTCAAAACTGTAGAGATGAGAGTGGATTTTAGGAGGAGCCTTTCTATTTTACCACCTGTTACTATATTCAACAGCATTGTATCCACAGTAGCCGCCTCCACATTTTGGGGTTCTGTAATCTCTCAGGATTTGAAATGAACATCTAACATTAGAACCATCCTTAAAACAAAGAAGATCCTTCCTGCATCAATTCAGGAAATTCAGATGCCCCAGGAGCTGCTGATAGAGTCCTATAGAGGAATGATTGAGTCTGTCGTTTGTCCTTCTGTAACTGTCTGGGTTGGTCCAGCAACCAAACAGGTCAGGTAGAGACTCCAATGAATAGTTAAGATTGCAAAAAGGACAATTGCAACCAACCTGCCTTCCACTGAGGACCTGTGTACTCCATAAGCCAGGAAGAGGGCTGAGAAACTATCTCCAGTCCCCTCCCATCCTGCACATCGTCTGTTTCAGTTCCTCCCTTCGGGACGCTGTTATCAAAGGCCAAAACAACCAGTCACAGGGAGAGTTTTTTCCCTCGTGCCATCACTCTGCTGAACACCTGCTTCGGTCTAATGTCTATGTGTATTTACACATAATCTGGCTGTAGTATTATTATTTATCCTTATTATCTTCTTTACTGCCCCCTCCTGTTGGTATTATTATTATCATCATTACTCTGTTGTTTTGCACGTACGCTGGAGCTTCTGCACCAGAGACAGATTCCGTGTGTGTCTAATCTCACTTGGCCAAATAAATATTCAAGCAGAGGAGTTCTCTCTAGGGGGACGTTCTTCCCCAAAGGAATAAGAGGGGGAAGGGGGAGGTTCCACCATTTTACCTATGTTTGCCAACAGAGTCTGTGCCCGGAGACTGGCACTTGGGACTGTTCTGAAGGACCCTGAAGGCTGGTTGGAGCCATCTCTCCTCCTCCTGCCTGGTTCTTCTGGGGCCCTTAAAGGAAGGGCTTGACCCCTCTTTGTCTTGGGCAGAGCCGTTCTTTGTGGGCTCAGCCTTCCTGCAGGAGAGCAGCAGCCCGGAGGATGAGGATGGCAAGATCTACTTCTTCTTCAGTGAAACCGGCAAGGAGTTTGACTTCTTTGAAGACACTGTTGTGTCCCGTGTTGCACGTGTGTGCAAGGTGAGGGGCATTGGGTGGGGGGGCGGGAGCCAAAATCTGCTTGTGCCACTGCTCCCTTTTTGCCCTCTGCCTCTGCAGTGCCAAGCTGGCCGTGGTGTCCTGAGCCGGCTAGCAACCCGCTGAGTGCCGAAAGGCAGCCAGCGCACCCCTTGGTTTCCCAGATGCCTTCCAGGGAGAACTTGACTCCGGCATCGGAACAAGGAGCTAGTCCTTTCAAAGCATCATCAGGGGAGGTTGCCAGCTCCTCGGGCAGCTCTGGGGCTCCCCCAGAAAGGGCATTTCCCTTCAAATCTGTGGGTGGTCAATCCGTGGGTGGTGGCAGATGGAAAGCAATTCTTGCTCCTCTTGCTAGGACTCCTTCAGGGTAGTAGGGAAGGGCAGCCCTGGAGGGAGACGAGAGAGATGCTCTTCCAGTTGAGGCTCCTGGCCTCCCTCCGAGTCGGTCTGCTGGAAGGGTCTGCATGGTGCCCATCTTACCTTCCTTCCATGACGGCACCAGGTAGATGAGGAGGAGCCACTGTCTGCTGAGTGATTCCAGGATCGCTCGGAGAAGCTTTTGATCCCCTCCCAGCGGGATGAAAAGGAGCAAATGGCTGTTTGGTGCAAAAATCCGTCCTGCCTTTCTCTGCAAAGCTTTTGTCAGAAACCGGTGTTGCGGCTGTGTGGCCCTTGGCAGCTGTCCTGGTTTCCTCATACTCTCTGTCCTGCGCCTGGCTGCCAGAGTTTCCCAGGGGCTCAAAAGGCTCCGTTAAGGGCGGAAGGCTGGCGGGCTCCCCTGGGCTGGAGGTGCAGAGCTCAGTGGCTGAGGGGCCATTCCGAGGTGAAAAGGAGGCATAGAAAGTGGCTCTGTTGACACTCAGCCGGGGGAGAGGCAACCTTTGGCAAGCCTGCTTTTCTTATCCCAGTTCCTGTTCTTCCTCCCTCCTCCTCCTCCTCCCCCTCCCCCCTCCCAGGGTGACCTGGGTGGAGAGCGTGTGCTCCAGCGACGATGGACAACCTTCCTGAAGGCTCAGCTGCTCTGCTCCCACCCAGAGGATGGCTTCCTCTTCAACGTCCTTCAGGACATGTTTGTGTTGACGTCAGGCGACGGATGGCCAGAGACGGTCTTTTATGGGGTCTTTACCTCTCAGTGGTGAGTCTGGAGAGGGACTGGCACCAAAGCACCCACAAAGGGTGCTGGCCTAGGCAGAGGGGCACCTCGTGACTAAGGCCCAGTATGCAGGTGAATGGGGGGAAGGGTTTTCTTTGGGCAGCCATGGCTCACGCTGCCTCTCCTGCCCCTCTCTGCCAGGGATAGGAAAGGCCCTGGGGCTGCAGCGGTGTGTGCCTTCTCTGTCTCCGATGTGAAGGAAGCCTTTGATGATGGGCTCTACAAAGAAGTCAACCGGGAGACCCAACAGTGGTACACAGATGTCCATCCTGTGCCAGAACCTCGCCCTGGAGCAGTAAGTGGCTTCCGCTGCCCTTGTCTTCCTCTCCTCCCTCTTCGGTTAGGTTACTACTAAGACAGACCGTCTAATCTGAACAGAACATTACTGATTGCTCTGGGTACACACACACATACACACGTACACACACACACACACACACACGGAGGGAGGGAGGGAGGGAGGGAGAAGGAGAGAGATAGATGTACAGGCAGCTCGCGTTTACCAACTGCTTATTCAGTGAACACTGGAAGTTGCAGCAACATTGAAAGAAAGGAAGTTGATGAGTGATCCTTGAAGTTGTGGCTGCTGCAGCATCTCCAGAGTGAGGGATCGCCGTTCAGGCGCTTGGCATTTGCAGTGGGCACCAGTGTCCCAGGCCACATGGAATGGTGTGTGGGAGACAGGGAGACCTGCAAGGTTCTGTTAGTGGAGCTCTACAATTCAGTAGAGTTAGCTTCTCTGGTTGTCTGTCTGGCAAGTCTGCCGTCTCCTTTATAGTGCAAAAACCGAGGGAGGGTCTCCTCTGAGCCTTTTCCCACGACCCAGTTTGCTGTTGTGGACAAGCCCTCTCTTCTATTCCCTTGGGAGCCTCCTTTCCTGGCTCCCAAGGTCTTTCACACATACTGTTGCATCAGGAAATTTGTCCCCTTTGTTAGGTAAGCTCCCCATTGGGAGAGTGAGTATGTTCAGCGAAGCGTTGTGAGAGTTGTGCTGGAGAACACACAAACTGGGT